AGACTGTAGTCCATCTGTTTCTCTGCATACTTTGTTAGCCCCCTTTTACCCTGTTCTTCAGTGGTCAGGACCCCCATGAACCCTCACAGAGCAGGCACTATTTGGGTGGTGGATCATTCTCAGCACTGCAGTAACACTGACGTGGTAGTGGTGTGTTAGTGTGTGTTGTGCTGGTCTGAGTGGATCAGACACAGCAGTGCTGCTGGAGTTTTTAAACACCTCAGTGTCACTGCTGGACTGAGAATAGTCCACTAACCTAAAATATCCAGCCAACAGCGTCCTGTGAGCAGCGTCCTGTGACCACTGATGAAGGACTAGAGGATGACCAACACAAACTGTACAGCAGCAGATGAGCTATCGTCTCTGACTTTACATCTACAAGGTGGACTGACAAGGTAGGAGTGTCTAATAGAGTGGACAGTAAGTGGACACAGTGTTTAAAAACTCTAGCAGCACTGCTGTGTCTGATCCACTCAGACCAGCACAACACACACTAACACACCACCACCACGTCAGTGTTACTGCAGTGCTGAGAATGATCCACCACCCAAATAGTACCTGCTCTGTGAGGGTCCATGGGGGTCCTGACCACTGAAGAACAGGGTAAAAGGGGGCTAACAAAGTATCAGAGAAACAGATGGACTACAGTCTGTAACTGTAGAACTACAAAGTGCACCTATATGGTAAGTGGTGATTGGTGTAAATGACAGGTGTGAACCTGTTAACATTAGCAAAGTAAGAGAGACGCTGTAAATGCTATAAACACATCACAGGCTTGTACTTTGTCATCACATGCATTTATTTGAGAGAGAAACAAACAAAAAAAAATCGCCATACACATCTCTTTGTGTTTACCAGCACATTTCTGATTAATTTAACAGGTAATTTAAAAATGACTAAAAATTAAAGCAATACAAACGTTGGGTTGGGGCAGCACAGAAGTGTCAGTTATTTTAGGCCAATGACAATCTGGATGTAGAGACCAATCTGTCCTGGGCTTTAGCTTCTCATTCGGAGGACAAACCCATAGCAGCCAAAGTGCTAAAGATAACAGCCAGCACGAGCGAGCCAGAGACTCCGGGATGGGGTACGGCAGAAAGTGGCCGATAGAGATAAACAGCACGTTCTTTTGACCCCAGAAACATTTTTTGGTGCTAACTTCGAGTCTCCAGCTCCCCCTGCTGGCTGCAGCTTCACCCGACAGTAGTGTTTTCTTTATACATTAACATTCATTCAGCCTTTTTCATTCTCTCCCCTGAAACAGCGTGCATTCTCACATCCAAACAAAAAAAAACAAAACTGCACTTTCCCCAAAGTTCCAGCCTCGATTTTATATATATATTTAATCAACCCCCCAAAAACCCCCTTACCCCTTAAAAAAAAGTATAATTGCTCTTTATATAATCTGAAAATATACACCAAATAGGGGAATCTTTAAAACCAAATCCCTCAGTAACAACTAATAAAAAACAGAGTGAGGAAAAGAGGAAAGAAAATCACTCAAAAGAAAAAGGCTCATATTTCAATAAAATAAATAGAAATGATTCGTCAAAGCAGCAAAAAAAAACAAAAAAAAACAAAAAACAAAAGAGGAGAAGGATGCTTAAAGGCAATGTATCGAAAACCTTTTTTCGGGTGCAAATCATGGTGGCACAAAGGGTGAAACCAGAGGAAGGCAGAAAGAGAGAGAGAGAGAGAGAAAGAAAGAAAGAGAGAGAGAGAGAGAGAGAGAGAGAGAGACTGACTGAGCTACAAACACTCTGTATTCCTCTTCATGTTTCTTTATATGAGAACGGTCCCATAAATTTCTCTGGAAGAAAGAAAATCACAGACGATCTGGGAAATTCAGCAGTTTCTCGCTACGGACAGCAGGTTGTCGGTTGTCCAGCCAATGCAGAACGCAGAACATTCACCTGGGTTTCCAGAAGGCTTCAGAGACCACTCTCCTGCTGGGGTCATCGAAAAAAGCCTGGAGAGATCTTTGCAGACGTGTGGTCTTGGTCAACAACAAAAAGAAAAACAAACGAACAAAAACAGGAGAACGTACAGCTAGCCAGACACCAAGACGGTTCCTGAGCAGGACCAAAAGGAACGAACAAAAAACAAAAAAGGGAATCGCTTTGGCGGGGTGGTGGTTTTTTTTTTGGTCTTTTTTCTTTTTTCCTCTGGAGACAGAACAATACGTGACACACATACACAAGCACACCTGCACACACACTTACAAAGCAAACAGCGTTTATTCCACCCCCGGTCCCCGACCCCGGACCCCCAAATCAGTCCTGAGAGCCAAAGAGCAAAACTCATTCAGTGTCCCGCACAATCAGATCTCGTCAGTTCTTCAAGACCTTTCTTTTCCCCAGAAAAAGGACTGGTCCGTCTTCCTGCTACAGTAACTTCTGGAGTACACGCTGGGGGGCGCCGGGGAGCTGCGTGCTATAGTCCACTGCTCGGCGTCGGTGGAAGAGGAGCGAAGAGTGCGAGGGTGTTGTTTTTTCGGTGCACGTGTGTCTGTCTTTGGTTTCTGTCTGGCTCCCGTCTTTATTGAATCCCACTGTTGAGGGGAATGTAGTGACGGATGACAGGACGACATGAAATGATCGTAATCCTCTCATCTGAGTCGTTAAAAAAAAAAAAGTCAAATATTTGTGTTTCATAGTGTTTTAGACTGTAGTGAACTGTGTGATGCCTCAGGAGCATCTGATCCATGATGCTGTTGTTTTTTTCCTTGATCTTTGTGTTTGAGTCCTCTCTAAGCGTCTGTATTGGAGGGAAGGAGCTGTGTGGTGTAGCAGAAGAAAGATGGGAGCAGGAAACTCCAAAGCCCAGGGGTTGCACACAGTCTCTCTACATGGGTGGACCCTGTGGGACAGGACAAAATAAGGGTTAAGGGTTTTAGGCACAGTCGATTGCAAATTACACATTTTGTTGAATTTCTAAGTGAAAATAAGACATCCTCTATAGACGGCATCCTTCTGCACATTTTAGTGCACAATTTACATACACAACATACTGAACATAACATACTGAAACATACTGAAAATAACTTTCAGACTTTTTCACAGGTTATATTTTATTTTATTTGTTTATTCCCAAAATGTTAATTTCGACAAATAAACAGCATCTCGAAAAACAGCAGTCACATGAAAAATAAGGTGGACACAATCAGCCCAGACATGCCTGAGGACCAACGTTAATTAGTAAATTAGCTAACAAGGGTATCTCTCAGCATGGGGTGTGGGGGGTCGTAATGCCCTTGAAAAAAGGAGTGTAAATCTTTCAAGGTTCATCACAATGAGGTCCTACACCGATTCTTTTAGCTGAAGATCTGATGATTTTCAAAACTTCAACATTTCCATAACAGTTATTTAACTTTCTCACAGACTATGGGCTTATAAGAAGGCTAATACTGACATTATGGAAAACTGAATGATTAATTTTTCTCCAATTATTGCTAAAAATGCAACTAAGATATGCTAGCAATGGGAGACACCGACAAAAAAAAGAAAAAAGAAAGTACAGTGTTGAGGGAATGTACAGCGTGTCCCAAAAAAACTGACATCATTTCGTAGTCTAATAACAATTAGAACCAATTCTCCCTCAAATGAAACTAACCCAGTTTAATTTTTAATGTTTTTTTCCAGGGTGAAGAATGGCGTTCACTAGAAATGAAAAGGCATTTTGTGTGTTAGAATATGCTCGAACACAGTCAAACAAGAGTGTGCAGCGTGTATTTTCGAGAAAATTCAAGATTTGGACACAGCACAAAAAATTCAAAAGGGAAGGCTGTCTGTGCAGGACAAAGGGATCTGGACGACCACCAGTATCGGAAGATATTATCTGTGAAGCTTTGAAATCGGTTATAAAATCTACATCCCTCTGAACTCCTTGTTCGAATTTTGATAAATAAATCTTGTTGTTCAACATGAAGCCTATTTAATTTTGTTTGCCTGGACATGTAGTTACTCAGATATTCACAACTCAAATGATGTCAATTTTTTTGGGACACCCTGAACTATTTAAAGATGCACATAACTTTTTTTTTTTTTTTACTTATTTTCCAATTTTCAGTTTGGAGAGAAAAGCTGATGATCACAGTTCGAGTTCTGAGTGAACTGCTACTATAACTGTTAGCCAGGGTTATAACCTTGAGAGGTTAACCTTAAAAAGCCTGTACATGTGAAGGCCTGTACATCAGCAAACACTTCAGTTCCTCACTCGCATAACTACATAGCTTACACTTAGTCTCATAGTAGGTACAAAATAGCAGGTTTTAAGGTTAATTAATAAACAATAAGTGTGCAGTTTAGACAAAGGCATATCTACTTCAAAAGGATTTACCGTAGCTACAGCACTAAGGCGTGTCTCTGCTCGTATCCAGACTGGCCTCTAAAAGGAGCTCTTCCAGATCCTGTCCACAGCTCAGCTCCGCCGTCACGCTCACTGTGAAAACACATAAAATATGAGCATAAAAGGACGGGCTCTGAAGAATTAGCTATGATAATCCTCATCGTTCTGGAACTCACTGTGCTCCATGACGCAGCAGGCAGCTTTGGGTGTCTCCGGCTCCAGCAGGTGGAAGGCGAACTCAGGCTTGAGGCCGTTGGGCAGCGTGGCCGTCTCTGCACTAATGCACTCCGCCTCCTCCGCGAAGCTTTCATCCGGAGAATCGGCCAAATCCTCCGTCCCTGCGGAGGTGACACGGTCCTGATCCACTGGGGGGCGCTCAAGCGCCAGTCCCTCTGCGACAGGCTGCGAGGGAGTAGATGAAAGACTGTTTGCTGTCGCAGTCTGTGGCTGCGCTCTAGACATGGCCTGTTCCAGTGAAGCCACTGTGTCCATCTCAGAATCAACTAGCTGACCCGTTTGTGCGTATTTTTGCGTATTCTCATCGTGTGGCTCACTTTCAGCTGCTGGCTTTAGGATCTGTTTCTCTTTCTGGGACATCAGTGGCTCTTTTGGGAGTTCATTGTTTGTTACTGGCTGCTGCTTAGCAGTGTCAGTATCTATTAGTCGCTCTACCAGAGAGGGAGAGACGTTGTTCTCCGGAAGCCCCTCACTGAGAAGTTCCTGCATGGCTCCTTGTATTGAAGTCTGCTGGCTTTGAATTTCATTCTCTGTCAGTGTCTCTGCTGCGTCCTCACTAGCCGCCACCCTCTGGTGCTGTTCCAGCTGGGTGGTGGCCAGCTCCATATTGCTGACCGTAGAAGATTGCTGCTCTGTGGTGGTCTGTAATAATACCCTGAGCCTCTTGCTGCTGTGGCTGAGGTACAGGCTCTGCTGGCGGTGTCTGTCGAGGCTGGGATGGCTCTGATGGGTTTTGTGAAGATTTCTCATTGGTCTGCTGAGCTGAAGCAGCTTTCTCAGCACTTGGATGCTTCTCCTCAAACTGTGGCGCAGATGGTTCAGAAGGTGCTTTAGGACTGGGTAGCTCTGGCGGCTTGGGTACTGCAGTTTTGCTCTCTTGCGTCCTCTCCTGGAGGCTCTTGGCCAGTGCAAGTAGTGGCTGCTGCTGTTCTGGTGGACTCTCCACACGAGTTACCATGAAGATCTTATGACCCCTCCCAGGGCTGGACACAGAGATGCAGCGGCCAGGGGAGGGTGGGGCGCCTGCAGGCACGGTGGCCTCCGTCACCGTGATGCTTGAAACCACAGTTGGGCTCTCAGAGGTGCTAGGGGTAGGGCTGGGGGCGGGGCTGGGGACTAAGCCAGTCTGAGAGGCACAGAGAGGTGTGGTCACTGCTAAGACTGGGGGTGGGGTTTGTTTTAGGGGTGATGTCTGCACCGTGGCTTTCACCACTTCGGCATCAGCTTCTTCTTCGTCATCATCAGTATCTGAATCTGAATCATCCTGTGAGTAGGGATGAGTACACTGGTTATCAATGTGGTACATCAATGCTACTGTTATTGATTCTTTTTTTTAATTTTTAAAATTATATTTTGTACTATTGAAAAGCCACACTGTTGAGTCAGAACACAGACCTGTTTACAATGGACCTTATCAACACTCTAGTTTTACTACTTAATCTTTCAGAACCAGGTTTAATGAGACTTTCCTACCTGTGTGGCTGCTGGTTTAGCTTCATCCTCTTGGCTTTCGGCTGGCTTCTCACTGCCATCCTCATCTTCGTCTCCCTCAGGCGCAGTCTTTTCTCTCTCTCCTTGGTCTCCCGACGCAGCGGGGTCTTCCTCCTCTTCCTCCGGAGGTGGCTCTTCAGTGGCAATTTCTGCCATGGAGGCTGATTGCCTCATCAGCTGCTGCGACTCCTCCTTCTCTTTAGCCAGAATGAAGTTCCGCTTGCAGCCATTCTGGATCTCTGCCAGCAGGGCGCGCTGTGTCTCAATAAAGCTTTTCACCTGAGAGCATGGGAGACAGAAGAGACCAAAGAGAGACAGAGAGCGACACAGAGACGTTAGCTCGGTCAGAAGTTTGCTACTTAAGGTTTGTGCACTGGAGCTGCAAGGCGAATGTAGCTAAAGGAAGCTGATCATCTCATACTTGCCTCAATAACACTGATGGAGTTTTGTATGTTTTCATTACTTGTTAACTGCACTAGGTTCACAGCTCCAGGGCAAAACTAAAGAAGCAAATTTGTACTGACTGACTGAGCACATTTGATTTAAACAGATATAAAAAAACACCCTTGAGCAAGACACCTAACCCCCAACTGCTCCCTGTGCGCCGTGGATAGGGCTGCCCACCGCTCTGGGCAGGTGTGCTCAGTGCCCCCTAGTGTGTGTGTTCACTAGTGTGTATGGGGTGTTTAGTCTAATTCCTCTGTGTGCAAACACAGTTGGCCAGTGGTTCTGAATTCCTTCATTCAATTCATTCTTTCTGCATCGTTTCTAGTAGAAAACCAGTGTAATTTTAAAATGAAAACTCTTGTGTCTCCTCAGACAAAAATACAGGGGTACTTGCTGTGAAAATACTCTGTTAAATGATAAGGGTCACTTAATCTTAAGGGTCACTTTCAGAGGAAAACTAAAGTTAATTCAGAGTCAATTTCAGAGGAAAACTAAAGTTAATTGTTAATTCTAAATAAAAAGTTAAGAGTTAAGTTCAATGTTTTGGTTGCTAACAACGATAATTTATGCATAACATTTTACCCTCATGGTTCGAAAGCTACAGAAGAAAGACATATATACAAAAAAGGAAACTAGCTTCACTGCTCCTAACACACAGCTCTCTTTTTAATTTTCAGTGATGCTCTGATCAGCCCTTAGTTTGTTGGCTGAATAATGACCATAAACTGCTGCTGTGCTGTGTTTGGGGAGGAGATCTGACCTACACGATTCACGTGAACGGCATAGTCAGCCGAGATGTGTCGAGTCTGTATGCTTGTTCAAAGGGAAAGTTGTGTGAATTAAAATAGTTCTGCTTCACCGTCTCTTTTTTGGGCTCCCGGTCCAGGTCGAGACGGAGCAGTGAAGTGTTGACCTTCAGGGCAAGGGATAGGGCCATAAGCCCGCCGGTCTTGATCTCGTTCTCCCGCAGGTCCAGCCGCAAAAGCCGTGGGCTCTCAGCAATAAACTCGGCCACAGCTACAGCCCCTGAAACACAATGCCACAGTAAAGGTCAGCGAGTTTTCAAATGATTGACTTAAAACAGGGAATCTCAGCACACATTAGGGCTGCACAACGTGAACGACATTTCATATTGGCATTACTTTATGTTGGCATGTTAGCTAATGTGGCTCGAATAGAAGGTAGCGTAACTAGCCTGCTAATGTCAGCCGTTCATTGCAAGCTACAGTGCTGTGAAAAAGTATTTGCTCTTCAACTGATTTCTTCTATTTTTGCTAATTTGTCACATTTAAATGTTTCAGATCATCCAACTAATTTGAATATCACATAAAGAAAACATGAAGAAACAACAATGCAGCTTTTAAATGATCATTCTGTTCATTGAAAATAAAGATTTATTCAAAACCTATGTCACCCATGTGGGTGTCACTCGCTATAAAGGTTATATTTGCCAATTTTGATCAAAGTTAGCAAAAGCAGCCTTTATAAACACATTTATAAACATTTATGTGGGGTTATATCAGTTGTCATGACAAGCTTATGTAGGTGTCATGTAGCCTTATGAACAGTACCCTACAGTAAAGTGTTCCCAGAGTAGGTTCAACCAAAGTGTCACTAACTTTTAGGAGGTGTTTTTCTGTGGTTTTGTTAGTTTTATTTTTAGAACATGTCTGTATCTCTTCTGAATAAATCCAGGGCTGTTTTTAAACATTTAAAAAGACAGATTTTGTTTCATTTTCCACACTGTTAAAAAAATACTTTAAAAATACTTTTTAAAATATACCTAAAAAATATTCTTGCTCTCCACAGAAAATGTTATCACCTGTTTTCAAGAAAAATCATGTTAAACTGATTTATATGGAAATCCCAGTGTTTAATTAAAGCATTAATGATTATAAGGTCTGTAATGTAAATGCCTAGGTTGAAAAAAGGCCTAGATTTATTGGCAACAATCAAACAAGCAGAATTTCGGCAGTTTTGTTCCTTCAGTTAAGGTCGGAGACCCCTGACGTAAGGTAAAATTAAGCTTCTTAGAAAAATCAATCAAGCTTTCAGCTCTTTAATTGTCCTATTATTTGAATGCAGGAAAGGGACTAGATTTAAGCATTTATTAGTTGCATATTATTAAAAAAACAAAAACAACAACAAAAAACTATGGCTGCCTCTGTGAAAGCTGGCCAAATCCAGCCCTGCACACAAACCAGTGTTTATGCAGCAGTTGATGTTTTACCTTCACAGGACAGCTTGGTGGAGGCCAGGCCAAGCCGGAGGACGGAGCGGTTGGCTATCAGGCCGTCCTTCAGTTTGTGCACTCCCTCATTGCTGACTGCATTATGGCCAAGGTTCAGAGTCTCCAGACTCTGTGTGCACGGCTAGAGAGAAAGAGAGAAAAAGAGAAAGACAAAAAGAACGACAGACAGCACGTTAGGCATGACATCTGGATGTTCCGATCAACATATTTATTAATTCATGAAACAACTGTCAGAGACGAACAAGAAAAACAGTCAACCTTTGCGATAGATTTTGTGCTTTGTAGAGAAACACTAAAGGAAAAATGCAAAATTGAGAAACAAAGAAAGAAACAGACTTGAACAGGTGGAAGATAATCAAACGAAAGACAAAATTAAATAAAACCTTATGCTTATCATATGACTGAAGGAATACAGACATTTATTCAATCCAGAACGCACAAAGTTCTCTAGTGTTTAGGGCTGCAACAACTAATCGACATTATCCAAAATGTCACTAATAAAAAATTGTTAGCACCAAATCTAAGTTTTCATTGGCTTGATGGCATTTGTGCTCATCATCTGATTGCTAAAAATAACATGCAAAGTCCCAGTTGTTCGTAGTGGCGGTGATGTGAATAGTTTTGCAGTAGCTTTTAGATGCATTAAAGTTATTACATGGCTATACACACACACACACACACACACACATGATTATTCAACTTGGTCGACTAAAATGGAAGGCAAAATTAGTTGGCAACAAATAGTCGATTCACTACGAATGTTTTGACATTACCGCTCACTGGGGAGTTAACAACAACAACACAATGTCAGCCTCAACAACAAAATCCTTAAAAGTGAGGGAGCTTTTCACGCTCAACTCAGAAAAAAAAGCAGTCAGTTGTGCTACTTGTAAAGCCGACATTAGCTGGCTATGGGAGCACATCCTCCATGATGGAGCATCTAGAGGAAACTCGTCAGTTCAGTGGGTGAAGATTCATCTCAGTAAGATCGTCCCAAACCGCACACTAGCACACTAGATAGTGTGTAAAAACTGTGCATATACCATTAGAAGTGCACTCGTCAGTGTAGTGTGTGACGCGGTGATAGTTGTGATAGCGAGCTGGTTAGCTAATGTTAATGTTAAATTCTGTCCTACTTCATGTTCTGAGCTGAGCTGTAACTTTTTCTAGTTTGAAATGCTGCTCTCTGTAATCGTTAATGGAGTTTGAACAGGGAAGCAAGTAACTATTATTCACAGCGACCCTGTTTACTTTCCAAATAACGTTCACAGTTTTGAACACTTCACCGTCGTCTTAACGTCGAGGCCGCCGGTGCGGTCAAATTCAGCAAAATTCACATTTAGATTGATTTTGTTTATTATTTACTTGATTAAAGGAAAAGTGATTTAGTTTTGTTATATTTTATTGCTGCTGCTGTGCACAGTGAACTCTTGAATGTTATTTATCCTTATTGTCTTCACTGTTAGTTAGTAAATGCATAAAACAACATCCAGCTAAATTTTAAAGCTAATAGCTATTAAAAGAAACTGTACACTGTAAAGAAATCTTTCTTTACAGTGAAAAAGAAAAGTTTATCTATAAAAAACCACTCTGAATAATTTTTACGTCTTAAAGATGTAATTATGCAGAACAGAAATTCAGAAAAATCAGCAGAACCTTCATGGTGGTGCAATTCAACTATCAACTAACTAGTATCCAGCTTCAACATCAAGCATCTGGGACCAACTCTCAACAGCACCACAGCCACTGTTCTCATTAAATATCCCTTTTAGACCACAGCAGCAGGTTTAAGATGGGGTTTCTGAGTAAAAGACTCACCCAGACCCAAAATAACATTCAATTATTTGCTACTCTTCAGTACAAAGTGTTCCTTGAACCTGCTGAAACAGCACTGCTTTCCCCCGTGAGAGAGAGAGAGTGTGCGTCCATCTCTGTCTGCAGGCATCACACACTAAATTAACTACAGGATGCCAACAACAGGAGAAGCAGCAGGACAGCAGCCACATACAAAACCAGACACATACAATATGTACTCCAAATAGTGAGAGAGACTCAGGGAAACAGACAGAAAGATCTATAAAGCAGAAAGAGGCAAGAGAGATGCATCGAAGAGACTGTAAGAGCACTGTCTGCCTGGGTTCTAAATCAAGCTATTTTTGCTGCCTCCTACATGGAGAATATAGGTTACTGTCTGCATGTTAAACTGGGAAAATACCTTCTGCAGACTATGAGGTCCAAAAGTACGTTTATGTACAGACCTGGATACGTCAAAATACACGACGGCTGCTTTTCCACTATCAAGCCAAATGGATCTCAGGGCCGTACTGGGCCGTTCCACGCTGGTCCAGACTCATGAGACCAGTTACGGTTTCTGTTTCCATGTATTGCATCGCTAAATCAGAACCAGGAAATACCCAAGAAAACTACACAAATGACTGGCTAACTGCTAACAGGCTAATGGCAACACACACGCCACCCACCACAAACACCCCTGATAGCAAGTGGATAGTGGACCACTGTTGGTCCGCTGATGGCAAAGCTGGTGGTCCACTGGTGTTTTCCTCAGAGTATTAAACAAAATTCCTCTTATCATCACTCATTTTCCACTCACCGTCCAATTTACTGATTTTTCCTTCCTTCCTTTCTTTAGTTATACTTTATAAATTAGTTTAGTAAATAATTTTAATCCAGCACAGTGTCAGCAACAACATTTTCTAAAAAAATCATTTTATATCAGTATAGTTAAAACTTGGATGCATGACAGTAATCTGGGTGGTCCAAGGTTGGACCAGCAGTGGCAGTCAGTGGGGTACTGACTTATCAAGCCAGCAGACCGATATATCGCTGCTGTCGGAAGAAAACCTCGTATCTCCATTTTTGTCGTTTTTCACATAATTTAAAAGTACATGTTGCCCTTTACATTGTGTTCATGATGAATGGACCAAAAGAAACGACCCAAAAATGACTTGGAAAAAAGTCTGGTTCCATTGACTCACATTAAAAGTGAAGTATGTTTTTTCCTTCTCCTGTAAAGTTACCATTTTGGAGATTCGAGGTTTTCTTCTGACAGCAGCGACATATTCACTATTTGGGATTTTTGATTACGTCCATCACTCCACCTCCAGTCTCTCTCGGCTGCTCTCATCTTCTTTATCCTTTAGCACCACAGAACAAGTCTATTTTTTATCTTTGTCACTTCAACACCAGACATTCGAATTTGTGCACTCAGATACGAGTCTATATCCTCTAAACGGGTGTATTTAAGCATTGGTTCGCTAAAACCGAGCCCGTACTGCAGTGGGAGGCACCGTGCACTCGCGTTAGCTTAGCCTAAAGCACTACAGAACACTCCGATTTCGGCTGCTTCCGATTCCGATTTTCACCCTTGGACCACCCAGATTACTGTCCTGCAAACAAGCTTGAACTAGTTTTTTTATCTCCTTAAACAGATTTTAAATTCACAGAGCCTTTTATTTTACAAATAGATAAATATTACAGCAACTGAGAGAACAAAAATAATGATTAGGCCTGATGTAAAACGATTTTATAGAAAATGTTGTTGCTGACTCTGAGCTGGATTAAAATTATTTACTAATCTAATTTACAAAGTATAACTAAAGAAAAGAAGGAAGGAAAAATCAGTAAACTGGACTGTGATAAATGGAATTTTGCCCCTTACTCTGCTTAACCACTGGTGGGCCGCCCAGAAAACGCTGAGCAAAAACACCAGTGGACCACCAGCTATGCCGTCAGGGGCCTACAGTGGCCCACTATCAGGGTATTGTAAGTTTTTATCATCTATACTTGTGATAGCAGAGCAGTTAGTCGAATTGAACCTGCACTGTGGTGTTTGGATCTACGTTGGCTAGGAGAGAAGAGCTGGCTAGCATTAGCTTAGCTAGGAGGCTCCGGTCTTCAAACACCAGAGAAGAGGTTAATTTCAGCTTTCTGTCCCTCCAACATCAACCACTCGACTCCGCTTCCTCAGATATGAGTCATTATCATAGAATTTTTATGTTTTAAAAGTTTTTATTAGTCAGACTCAAATCTGTTCTGCGGTGAGCAGAGCTGGCAGCATGCTAGCTAACCTCTTCTAGCTGGTTAGGCAGAGCATTTAACATTTAGAAATTGGTTTCAGATTGAAGCTTTGATGTTTATTGAATGATGGTTTTAAAATCGCGCACTACTTTCATTTATTTGAGCAAACTGAATTTATTTGAATGCTTTTGAGTTTGAAACCGTGCAGCAGGAGGCGGTGGCACAACATAGATATAAACAGAACCAATCAGTGAACAGCTACGTCGCTACATCATCCCACCGAACGGTTCTGTGTCCCCAAGTACGCTTAGCTAACTGTTCTGTGTCGAACCGTGTCCAGGTTGAAACGCCACTGGAACCGTTACCCTCCATGCTCAGAACCATTCAGCCCTGCAGCGGAAAAGAGGCCTGTGTGTTCAAAAGTACACCTGCTCATCTAATGAATCCTCTGAAATCAAGGCTATTAATAGGGAGGTTGCCCCCATTTGCTGCCTCTACTCCTCTATGAAGGGTTTACAACAGATGTTTAAAACATTGTTAGAACATAATTTGTTTGCATTCAGCCATTCAAGCATTACTGAGGTCAGGTACTGTTGTTGGACGATCAGTTCTGGACCACAAACATTAGTCCAACTCATCCCAAAGTTACTGGATGGAGCCCCATCACATCAAAGCAATGAGCTTTTATACCCCTCTAGCTGACCCTTGGCATTGGGCAGGGTGCCCTTAACCAATGCTCAATATATGTCAGAAAGCCCACATTTTTCTTTGTCTTCATTCATTTTTAGGTCACAATAGCCCCCAGATTTTTAGATTTAGTATATCGTTGCTGTCCAATGAAAACCACGTACCTCCATTTTTGGCGATTTTTAGTTTTCTACATCATTTCAACACACCAGCTGTCCTTTACATTGTGTAAAAATTGCATGATGAATGGACCAATAGAAATTCTCTAAAATCACTTGGAACAAAATCTCTTTACATTGGTTTACATTGAAAAGTAAGAGTGTTTTTGCCTTCTCCTGTGAAGTTACTATTTTTGGAGATGCTTGTTTTTCATTGGACAGCGACGATATACAACAAAACACCACACACCTTCAGGTTATGCTAACAAACCCAACCTGAGATTCTGAACAACTGTGACCTTAGTAGTGTGAACTTGACACAAATTGCTTTGGTAGGTGTGTGTGTATTTTGCAGTAAAAAAAAAAAAATGGGAATTTTTTTTTAACATCAAAACATGACAGAGGGGCTAAATGGTTACATTATCATAGCAGTATAATTGGAAAAATACATTTTTATCATTCTGTTCGGCACTGTTCAGCTCAGCTCTTATTGATTACTGATCTTTTGCATGTGATGTCAACACTGTCTGCATTCCTCCCTGCTCTACAGGATGATGCGTCATAAAACGTCGTTGTCCAAAGGAAAAAAAAGTATCTCCAAAACAATAACTTTACAGAAGAAGACAAAAACACTCTTACCTTTCAATGTAAGCTAATGTAAAGAGATTTTGTTCCAAGTGACTTTAGAGCATTTCTATTGGTCCATTCATGATGAAACTTTTACACAATATAAAGAACAGCTGACGTGTTGAAATGATGTAGAAAACTAAAAATCGCCAAAAATGGGAGGTACATGGTTTTCATTGGACAGCGACGAAATATTGAACATATTTAATCTCTACAATTTGAAATCAAGGTGTCCATGTCTCGTCTGTGAGTAGACTGGAGGACTGAAGACTTTCACATCCCACACCAGAGGATAATCTGGGAAAATAATTAAAATTGGGCCACCTTTTGCGACTGTCAGGAGGCGTGAATCAGCATCAAAATCCCAGGTTTTAGGTTCATGTACAGCTTCTCCAGAGCATCTCACTCTACTGGCAACGCTTCTATTCACTACACACTTTGCACCTTAAAGTACCTGAATACACTAATTAGAAGGGGTGTCTGGATACTTTTGGATGCACCGTGTTTGCAAACATTTACGTGCCTTTGCATGTGTGTCTGTGAGATGCTATTCATTTTACCAGTGCAGCAGCGAGGTAACCCATGCCGTTGTGTGTGAGCTGGTTGTTCCAGAGCACCAGAGTCACCAGGCCTTTCCTCTGCTCCTTCAGACCCTCACACACATACGCCAACCCTGCAAAGAACGTATAACCAAATTAGACAAGAAGAGAAATGATACAAATTTAGGCAAGGCTAAACTAGGAGAAGCCACTAGCAAAGGTAATGGAACCAGATGATGAAGTAAGTAGGTAAGTAAATAAATAAATAAACAAACAACAACAACAAAAAAAAATCTTGGCCGAAATCAAACCAAAACTCAGGACACACTTTTCTGGAAAAAAAAAGCTGACAAAATAGTTTACATAAAATAAACTAACTAAAATTATACATAAATATAAGTTAAAGTATCCAAGGCAAAAAGTCCACATGATCCACATGGCCTTTTTTATTGTTTGTATTATTTACTGTTTATATTGTTCATTGTTTAGTACTATGTTAATAGTCTGTGCTGACCGGTGCAGGAAAGTAATAGAAACAATGTTTTTTATCACTATTTTTCATTTAATTACCGTTAAAATTATTTGCAAAGCCTTCGATTTTGATAGTTCAGTTCTAGGCCTATTTTATCTTTTTTTAGGCCAAAATTTTAGACTTTTTCTATTTCGGCTGGAAAAAAAAAAATGTCATTTTGGTCTATTTGCTGCTGAAAATGTCGGTGCATCCCTAATAAACCCCAAGGACACAGAGGACAGACAGGGCAAATATTATGTAATCAAACAAAAAACAAGGACACAAAACAATGTTTCGAAATTACATCATACAATTACAACAGAAAGAAAAGGACCAATCAAAACAAACAAATGAGGTCGATTTCATGGGAGGAACCACGATACTAAAAGAGGAACTTGAAGACATGAGAGAATGGTCAGGGTAACAGGAGCAAAGGGCAGCTAAGTAGGAGGGAATCTCCTACCATGTAGGTCAGGGGTCGCAACACAAATGTTAAGAAGAGCCATTTTGTCCTTCCAACAAAAATCAATCCGCCTTGGGAGCCACAACATTTTATGTCCATTTATTGAAGTAAAGTTTTACCATATTGGGTGTAAATATGTGTCAGTATGTCTCAGTGTGGATTCAAAAACATAATATAAACGAAAACACAGACTTTGCTCTGCTTTTGGCTTCAGCTGTAGCCACTTTTCTCACATCTCTGGCAGGAAACTTTACCGCAAAAGTAGAGCAGTTTCTTGTAAAACGTCTCAATATTCGCTTTTTAGGCTGAAGTCGCTTCTCATTCTCCAGCTTGTTGTTCGAATTTCCCCATTCCACCTTAAATGCTGCCCCATTTAGGGTGGAACAGAAAAATTCAAACAAGAAGCTGGCGAATAGGAGCAGACTTAAGCATCGCAACGTTTTAGTGTTTGAGAGTTTCTCGCTGCAAACTAAACGTATCAGGAAACCAGCTGGAGTGATCATAAATAAGTCCATGCGCCTCCAAACCATCGATGTTCGTCTTAAATCTCTCTCTTTGCCGTTTCTTTAGCTACTAGCTAGGCGAGATTGCAGTCTGCACACCATCCTTCAGGGTTAAAGGGTGGTGATTTAGCAGTTACACAGTCCAGTGTTTAAGATGTTAAAACTGTGTTGAACGATCAGCAGATCTTTATTTTACTGCAAAGGAGGATTATTTTATTTTTACCTAAAAGCCTAATTCTGCTGTGGAGCCACAACGGGGCAGTAAAAGAGCCACACGTGGCTCTGGAGCCGCGTGTTTCCGACCCCTGATGAAGCAACTAAACAACACTCAAACACTAAAACAGAAACTGTGAGAAAGACACCAAACCAGAAGCCCCAAATCTCCAACTAAAAGCATTCAGAGAGAGCATTTAGAGAGAGCATTCCACTCGCCGACCTGAGTCCAGTATGTGGTTGTTCCTCAGGTCAAGGATCTGGATGTTGTAGTTGAATTTGAGAAGGTTGCCCAGCTGAGCCGAGTCCTGCAGGCCGTTCAGCTTATTATCAGCCAGGTACAGCTCACGCAGGTTCATATTCATCTTCAGAGCTGTGGCTGTGGACAGATACACACACAGAGCCAGCCATTAGTGGGAGTTTTAAAAAAAAAAAAAAGGAACAAAGAGTCGAAAAATGGTGATTTAATGGCATCGATTTTGGACGCTTACAAATGGTTATAATCGTATTCAATAATTGAATATTTACTTATTAATGCTACTGAATGATCTGAATTCTATTCAGAATGAGCTCGTGCACCTTTTATACAGGTATAGAAAACATGAGAACACAGTAAGCTCCAGTTCTACACAGTAAAATTTAAAAAATATATTAACGTTGCCAGTGGCAATGTGCATGTGGCATAACTCCACTGGCGGCAGAATTAAATTAATTATTTTTTATTGGTAGTGTGATATGAGTTTCTGTGATAAACACATTGCGCATGCCTAAAATGTGAAGACATCTCGCCCCTAAGTGCTGGTAACATAAAAGTCATAATAAAAAATAAAAAAAACCTGAAATATATGAAGCAGTAATCTGCAGCATCATTAGGAGCTTTTTAAGGAATTAAATGAACATAAATATATCTGGACTACTCTATCCAGTTAAACCGCGATATCACAAGAAAAAAAAACATTATTACTATTATATACTAATATGCATAATGATACATAAGAATGTGTAACTGGGGACAGTTATATATAATATTTGGACTTTCAATTTATTTAAACCCTATATATATATATATATATATTTATTTTTTTCTGTTCTTCATTCATTCATTTTCTTTATTTAGTATTTTTTTTACAGATCTTCTTAGTGTGAAGTTGCGAGATTTAGATTAATCATGAGTTTAATTATGATATAAAAAAACTATTAAAAAAACGCTGTCCCACGATTTCATGTCACTACCAAAAAAGTTTTAGTCCATAGTCTGAGCCCTATTTTAGCCAAAACCCTGCACTTTAGAGCAGGAAGTGAGGCTGCATCCCTGTCCCTCATGGCCACACGATGAGCAGTTAGACCCCATTGTTTTGAAATAAATGTGTCCCAAAGTCTGAAAATCAGATAAGAACTGTCACTACTGAAACACATATTTTCTGCAATTAAGTGAATTTTTAGTGTTTTAATGAAACATATTTGGATTTTATGTGTGAACAACTGTTCAAAGCTGTGTTTGCTAGTCATGTCCTGACTAGTGTTTAAGCACAAAATTAGCTAAAACTGATGCTACAGAAATATTTGGTGAAGTTCTGGTAGTGTTATGGTTGTTTTAGTAGCAAATAAAACAGAACATTCAAACATTTAATTAATAAAATAAACATACTTCAAATATAGTCACTTAGCCTAAAAGTTTGAAATGTGTTTTGAACAAACATAAACAGACTTGTTCAGCCATACAGCGTACAAAAGTGTGCTTACAGTTCTGATTTAAGTAGCTACTACACTTTCACTACTTTTATTTATTCATTTATTTTTGCTAGAGGTTATTTTTCTGTTTACACAGCAAAAAAAGTCTAAAAAAGCCCTCTATTTTAACAGTAATTTATTACTTCTCATATTGTGAGCACAATGGACCCTTTTCACAAAGAGTCGCGATTACGTCCAGTTTAAGCGTTAGCAGGGTAAAATTCACTTCCGCTCCATATAACTACTACAGAAGCGATGATGAAATGTTATAGTAGTGAACCATAATGCTCAAACACTGAGCTACAGCAGACATATTTTAGTTTTCTTGCACTGTCATGACAAACAGTGAGAATAAGAAGTGAATGGAAGCACTGATTTAACTAAAATGCTGTATGTGTTAGCCTTGTTTTTACTGCAGTCTGCTGCAGCTGCTCACATCAAGCAGCCTCTGTGTCTTTGTACAACATGCCAGCGATTTCTGTAATATTTCAAAAGAAAGAAGAACTTTTATATGTAGCATGATTTTGATGGACTCCTTATATATTAAGCTGGCTAAAAGCTATTGCTAACAGTAGTTATTATCTCAAACTAGTTTACCCGGCTCACATAAAGCAGCTTTGTTTTGTACCCATCTTTAAAAAGCTAATGAGGCAATAAACCGTCAACAAAATAATTCCTACATGATCAGCTCGGTACAAACAGCCAACGTTAGCTGGCCCATTATGTCAGAAATCGTACGTGGCTCTTCTCAGATCACAAACAACTAGCTAATCTAGCTGTGTCAGACAATGGAAATCAAAACGCCGCAGCATAACCGCGATGCTAAGATACGAGTTAGCTAGGAGTGGCGTTTTTGTTTGAGCAGTGAAAGGTGGATGTTTTCTGTAGCGCTGCTTCAAAAATCGCCATGAAACTAAAATAAAGGTGCTGTTTGGCAGATCGCTAACATAGCTAGCCAGCTAGCTTTAAAGTCTGCTACTCATATGAAGCTGGAGTTCCTTAAACTGCTAATGGTAGGCTAGCTAGTTTAAACAAGGTCTGTGAAACAAACTTAATATAAAAGTTTTGGTTTGTGCTTATAATATTAGAGAAATCGCTGCTGTAAATGTGTCACAGAACCTGCTCCACGTTAGCCAGCTGTAGGCAGCAGCTAATGAAAACTAGCTTCCTTGTTTGGGAATACAGATACAGTTAGCAATGGCCTTTAGCGCAGCTAGGCTAGGTACATCTAAACAATGTCTACCAAATTCATACTACATATAAAAAAATTTCTTCTACCTTTTGAAAACAGAAATATTACGGAAATCGCTGGCATGTTGTACAAAGACAGAGAGACTGCTTGATGTAAGGCAGCTGCACCAGCAGCAAACAGGGCTACACCACACAGCATTTTGGCTCTGTTAATCGTTAAATCAGTGCTTCCATCCACTTTCTATTTTCACTATTTGTCACGACAGTGCATGAAAACTAACATATGTCTGCTGTAGCTCAGTGTTTGAGCATTATGTTTCGCTACTATAACATTTCGTCATCGCTTCTGCAGTAGTTGTATGGAGCGGAAGTTAGTTTTACCCTGCTAACGCTTAAACCCGAAGTACTCTGTGAAAAGGGCCTATATGAGCCGCAGCCCTGCATCCGACAGAACTGTAACTGACTCGAACAACTTTAAGATCAGAGATTTTTACCCCTACCAGCCACGAAGTATAATGTTGTCAAAATAAACCATATTAAACCGAATGAAAAAGAGTGAGGACAATATACTGTAAGAGGCCAGGCGCTCATAGTCCAACCTACAAAGTTCTAACACACATTCTATTCTAATACAACACACCTAATCCAGTTACTCAAGAACAATTCAGGACGTTATTAGCACAAGGTGTGTTACAACAGTGCTGGATCTTCACCCTGCAGGGCGGTGTACAACCAGCTGCAGGACCAGGCACGTTTAGACTGAGTAACTCTTTAGTTTAGAGGCCATTCATTCTTTCTCCTAGTCTCACTGTTGTAATGAGCCTTTTCCAACATAAAGTACAGATTAGATCAACACTTTTACTTCCTCTACTGCTATGACTACACTCCCGTCTGGGCTCTGAGATGATTACATTTATATATCAAACTATGATCTTTTCGTTTTATTCCGCTCCTCTGCAGAATGCAGTGCCCCCTTCTTCAGCTTCTTTCACCCTCTCATCACGTTTTTCTTCTAGTCCCTGTTTTTCCGCTTGTCCTCTCACCTAAAGTCTCTATTGCTCTTTAATGCTGACACTGCATTCTCCTATTCAATAGCTCTCACCCTTTATCTTCTACTTTAGAGGAGGTCTGTTTTATTTAATTTTACACATTTTTTATCACTGACCACCTTATATTTTCATCTCCTTTTCTCTTCCTTCACTCTCTCTCTCTCTCTCTCTCTCTCTCACTGTACGTCCCTACCCATTTTAACATTCATTTAACCCTTGATTGCACAATGTTGCCTCAGGGCAAGAAACCCATTTTCCTCACTTGACAATAACATTATGCATATTTAAAGACAATAATAGGGTTAACAACATAGGGAAGAGTCTGAGTAAGTCAATAAAAAGCATCTCTTAGTGGGCACTTTTATACCTCTTTTTTCAACATTCAGTATCACTTTTTTTGTTAGGAGAATTTACAGAAATATGTTTGTTGCCTCGAAGCAACATTGTGCGACAGTGGAATGGATTTGGCCAGCCACAAGCCAGATCTCACTACGGCTCTATATCATTTCTTCCCGAGCAACCTACCCCAAAAGGATCCCTGCACACAAAATCAGGTCCATTTTATGCAAGAAAAGTGAATCGAATATTTATTTATTTGCTTTTAACTGCTCTCATATTGTGTGCAGTAGAGGGTTAATCATTCTCTCTCGCCTCCCCCTCCCCTTCATTCTTTTACACTACATTTATGCATTTAGCAGATGCCCTAAAAGCAGCATATAAAATGTGCAGATATGCTAAACAGCTATAAAATGGCCAGAGACACTGCAAGGATTTATGACCGAAAAGACAAGAGCCCTCTTAACAAATGCAAATGTAAACCTTGAAGACAAAAAAGTGCAAAAGCGATAAACAGAAATGGTATTTCATTCGTTCTTCCTCTCCTTCTCTCACCCAGCAGCATCAGTGGGCGTCCAGATAGGCCAGCGTTCTCCAGGTGCAGCACCGTCAGACTGCCGCTGATGCGCAAAGCTCGGGCCACGAAGGGAGCCGAGTGGTCCAGCAGAGGGGTGTTCCGCGCGTCCAAATACTGCAGGGAACTTGTCTGGACACACAGACACATAAATCAAAATGTAATCCAGGGACACAAATTTTGGCAAATTCTTTTCAGCAATAATTGACAGCCTTTAGTCAGTGATTAATCAAGCCTAAAATTAAGGACACAACCCATCAAAATACTGATTATTAAACTGAGAGCTACAGTTCTGTCCAAAATCTTAAATACTTCTAAATAAAATCTTAAAATAATCTAAAATACTTGATGTATGAACACTGTATCAAAAACTGTTTCTATAGTCATGCTTCAAGCCATATGTAAATGACCTCTGTTCTGATTGGCTTCCCTGCACTGTGCCTCATTAAAACAGCAGTCACTTCTTACAACTTTATGGGCAGGGCAAAAACACTGTAGGCTTAATGTCCGGACAAACGTAAATGTGCTGAATTTGGTGATATTACAAAAGCAATTCATTCAAAATGGCTTAGTTGGGTGCAAATTACTTTGCACTAGGGCTGGGCAATAAAACGATAACGATAATTATCGTGACATAACTTTCTTCAGTAGAACTATAAGAAATGTTCGATATAATAGAGCATTCTCACACTTCCACGTTCTAGCGACAGCCCTGGTGGCGTTTTCTACTGCAAGGAAAATGACACTACTCTGCTGTCGCCACGAGAGGGCGCACTTCCAAGTTTTTTTAAATGACTGGTGGAGGGGGATTCCCAGGCTAGCTCTGTCACTCACACAGATGAACTGATGTTACTGTAGATTAAAGACTAAAAAGCGCTGATTTCAGTTTAAACGTACCTAAAAGGAGGACTCTGTTTGTCTGGTGTGAGATTCACACTGCAGTTGATGTTTTTACACAGTGAGCGTCAGATATACTGCGGTTCACCCCTCAAACTATGACGACAGAATAGAGAAATCCAGTCGCTAGCTGGTGTCTGAATACTGTGATATGCTCTGACATGGATGTGGTAGGAGTGACGGCAGTAAGGCGGTGTGATCCATCACTGGCGTACCGAGCCAGCCAATGTTGGCTGTTCGTGTTAAGTTGATGTTGTTGAGAAACTAAACAGTTTAGTGCTTTAACCAGACAGCCCAGCTCTCGTCACCAGACAGATAAAATAATCTGTTTTCTTTCTTAAATTATGAATATTACAAAAAACTGTGGCCGTGCTTTTCCAGCTGGTAAACACAGCTGATCAGAAACTTTCTCCCTCTGTCCCAGGACAGATTAGTGAAATGTTCCACTGGTTGGTGAGTGTTTGTCATGTTCTGACCATAAAGGATAAAAATCAGCCTCCAAACTTAAAAGAAATAAAGATTTGACATTTATCGCGATACGTATCGATATCGACTGATATGAAATTTTTATCATGATAACATTTTTGGCCATATCGCCCAGTCCTACTTTGCACCCAACTAAGCAGCAAAGACTCGTTTTAAAAATGTTTAAATACTACATCATAGTCTTTAATTTCAAAGAAAAGAGGATTTGTTTTTTCATGATATCGGCCTTTTAATGCAGCCAGATATTAAAAAGTGTTTTATGAGGGGATGACAACTATAACATGCTCATGATTATATAACCAAAAACAAAAAACTAAAAAGTTGACATGATCTGTAGAATATAGACCTTCCACCCCAAATACTGAAAAAATTGGGGAAAAAAAACAAAACAAAAACAGACAAACAAACAAAGCTACCAAAAGAAGACACTTCCTCACCTTCCTCATCATGTGGGCGGCAGCCTGCCAGCCACGGGTGCCGATGTGCTTGTTGAAGGAGATGTTGAGGTGCGTGGCTGATTCATAGTACTCAATCATATCAAACAACGCTGAGGCTCCCTGAAGCAGAAAGGAGTGGAAGAACAGAGAAAGACAATACAGTTAGTTGTTGCCAGTGTTTTATGTGACCTTACTGCTTCCAGAGAAGGTGTTTAAGATGTTAACATCACCTTGATGAGAAGAACAGCTCAACCAAATACGCAAACACAGCTAACAATAAACAAAAGCTGCATCACTGGTCTAAGCAGAAATAAATTACTGTGTAGGCCTGTGATAAAGAGGGAAACCCAACATCCTGAAAGCCGTGCAGTCCTCAGCTCACTTACTCCAACGCTTCTGCCCTTCGGTCATACTAAACATTAGCAATCAACCAGATGCTAATGCTGGATCCACATAAACATAACCATCACCACAGTATTCTTTCCTATAAAGCACGTGTCAGCTTTCCACAGGCACCTTTGCCTAAAGGAGACGACCCAAAGTTAAAATGTCAGCAGAAAGATGAGGATAAAACACAACAAACTTAAATAAATAAATAAAAACACTAAACCTAATCACCATAGGCAAAACACATACCACCACAGCAGTCAAGAAAATGTTGATGGTCCATTTATGTCTTACCCATGATGACTCTGTGCACTGAAGTTAGATGTGCACTGTTAGATCTTTGCTTCGACAGTTTACGAAACCCATTTTAGCTTTTGTTGTAAAAGCACTATTTAAGCAGTAGAACACGAGAGGGGGTTTGTTATCACGAAATAACATCACGACAGTTAAATAAATAAAGTAATAAATTAATAAACTGGGCCGTGAACGCGGCGTTTAGTATGTTTTAATGTTCGCAGTTCCTTCACCAAATTATAGTTCCTTAACAAGCAGCTTGTTGCTACGTCAGAGTAACGAACTCCGCCCACTCGCTGCACAGCCGGCAGTTCGTTCTCCAGCTCCACACAGACCAACTGACAGTTTGGGAATTTAGTGTGGTCTCATCTTCAGAGTCTGACCAAATCGGCTGTCGGTCAAATGTGATCTTAAAAGTGTCCATTTTCTGTTTGTGGCAAAGTAAGAAGTAAAAACGTTCAATTGTCTTCAGCGTCTCCTACAGCTGTCAAAGTGTCTCAGCGGAGTGATACAGTGTTTGTGAAAAACCTGTGATGTTATGGTGAAACAGCACAGTTAGAACGCTTCTCAACCAATCAGCTTGCGTGGCCGGAACTAACTGTTGCATAAAGGCACTCGATTCACAGAAGACTGACCATAACAATGCTTTCAAGTTTGTTTTTGGCTTTGGAAATGGGTAGAAAACCACATACTCTAGGGAAGGAACCTCACTATTAAAATGTCCCAGTTACACATTTTATCTGCAACCGGAGCTTCGAATTAAAACACTGTTGCGCCGATACGAAACTGAATGCTTGAGGCAAAGGTTGCTAGACAGTGCTTGAAAGGCTGAGAACAGAAGGCGGAACTTGGCGAGAGGCGTAAAGATTTGATTGACCATAATACAACGGTGCCACTCAGAGAAATCAAATTTCATTATCTTAATAAATGGGTCATTCTACAGAAACGTCCACTTTTCCATCTCTCCATAGGAGTCACTGGTGTTACTGATCCTCATTGGTGTTACATAATAAAGGGAAACACCAGAGACAATTTTAATGAACAATGCATTTTACAAAATAACTGCTATAGAGCATCAAACCACATGATGTCAATCATGGAATATCCACTAAAATATGGAATTTAATCCATTTGTATTCTATTTTTTCACAATTATCTAAGAATAAAGTCGGTCACACCAGTGACTTCAGCTAAAAAAGAAAATCTCTGACAAGTGAAAGACACAGTGGACTCACCATGTGCTTTTCTTCATGGATCCTCAGAAAACAGGTAAAAGGAAGCCGAGTGATGTCATCAGTGTGACTTATTTCAAAATAAGAGATTTTTTTGTTATGCAGTAACACCAGTGACACGACTCCTAAGGACAACAACTTTCATTATATATTTTATAATATTTATTTGGCATTTATTTTCTTTACGTCATTTAATTTATATATTCCATAGTCATGTATGGATTATTGCAGTTAAAATTGCAGAAAAACATGTTTTTTACCTCAAAATATGGCCTCAGCCTTTACACATGACTGTGGGGACGAGCTCTTCTGTGGTGATTGGAATTCTATATGATTGATTTAAAAACCAATATTGCTAAATTGAGGCTCAAGAAGGTGTAACTGTTAAAATAACGTATTGTTTTATTTTAAAATATAAATAAATTGTAACCCTAACATGTTTTTCCAAGTGTAATATATCTGTAAACGCTAGGGACACAAAAATGGACGTTTCTGTAGAATGACCCAAATGTTCCATCCTCATGTGATTTGCAGGCCAGTGATAAATCTAGGCACACCCAGCCCAACTGGTGGCTACGCACCTGGTTTGCATAAAACATAATAACTTTCACCGTTAGCGACATTTCTGATCAAACCATTCCTTTAAACAAACAACACACATCACCTGAAACCACAGGTGTATCATTATTTCAACAGGTCCAGTTCACCTTTTCCTCTAATCACAAGCTTTAACAGCCAGCCCTTTATCACGGGAACAGTTTTCATCTCTGACTGCACGGAGGCGGAGCTGCCCCAGCAAAACACCAGGGGCACGCTGCGGAGGGCCTGTGTTACCATGACGATGATCTGTCACACCTGCAGGGAGCTCCTACAAAGGCAGAGCTGGGATGTGCTCTGTTCACCTGTTCTCTCTTATCTTCCAGCACATCCTGATTGGCCTAAATGCTCTGTACTTCCACACATCTACACAGATTTGAACGCTTAAAACCTTTGAGATGCTACACAACTAAAACAATCGAACACAGGCTCTCCTGTTAGTAAAAGGAAAAAGAACAGCTTATTTATTTCAGTTTCTGTGCCACCCGTCGTCTAGCCCAAAAACTGCTGACTACAGCCACAAGCACAAACTCACTATGGCTATAATAAATATATCACTGCTGTCGGAACAAAACCTCGTATCTCCAAAATGGTAACTTTACAGGAGAAGGAAAAAACGTACTTTACTTTTAATGTAAGTCAATGGAACCAGTCTTTTTTCCAAGTCGTTTTGGGTCGTTTCTTTTGGTCCATTCTTCATTAAATTTACAAACAACGTAAAGAGCAACAGGCATTTTCAAATTATGTCAAAAACTGAAAAACGGCAAAAATGGAGATATGAGGTTTTCTTCCGACAGCAGCGATATAATAAATCATGGCTATAACTGTTGTGGTACCAGCTTCAAGGCCGAAGCCTTTTTAGTATTTTGGCCAATTTATTTTGGCTTTTGTTGGCTTGTATGTCTATTAGAGGTTACCTGACCCGAGCATGACACAACCCGACAAAGCAAGAGCTTTGGGTTGGATGACTGATTTTTTATGAAGCACATTTTATATTTGAAAATCATGCATCATGCATCCTCATTCTCACTCGCATTAAACTCAGTCAAGTCACATTATTATGACCACCAGCTAACATCCAGAGTAACTGCCGTGGGCAGTGCGGACAGCAGCTAGACAGGCTGGGAGTGACTCGATAAGGTCCTGGTAGGTTGTCACAGGGATCTGGAGCCAGGCTGACTGCAGGGCATCCCACAGCTGCTGGAGGGGGTGCGGGGGAGGATCCACAGAGCAAGCACAACGATCGAGGTGGTCCCACAGATGCTCAATTGGGTTCATGTCTGGGGAATTAGGGGGCCAGGGTAGTACTCAGAAGTCTTGGTCATGCTCTTCCAACCAATGTTGGACATTTCTAGCCATGTGACGTGTCGCACTGTCTTGCTGGAAGATCCTATCTGCCCCAGGGAAGACAAACAGCATGTAAGGGTGTTTGTGATCTGCAGGGATGGATTCGTACCCAAGTCGTCTAAGAGTGCCTTCCACATGGATGAGTGAGCCCAGAGAAAGCCACGAAAACAGTCCCCAGACCATAACGCTGTCACCACCAGCTTGTGGACATTAAGTGGTCATAATAATGTGACTCGACTGTGTATAAGGACTGTTTCAGTCTGGACTGCTTTTTGAATGAGGCACAATACAGAACAGCCAATCAGATAACACACACACACACACACACACACACACACACACACACCATCTCAACCGCTTATCCTTCTGGGTCGCGGTGGGGTGCTGTAGCCTATCCCAGCTGTCACTGGGCAGAAGGCAGGATACACCCTGGGCAGGTCGCCAGTCCATCGCAGGGCAGACAGACACAAGCACAACATTCACACCTAGGGGCAATCTAGCATGTCCAATTGGCCTGACTGCATGTCTTTGGACTGTGGGAGAAAACCAGAGAACCCGGAGGAAACCCGGGGAGAACATGCAAACTCCACATGGGAAGGACCCCGGTCTCCCGGCTGGGAATCGACCCAGGCCCTTCTTGCTGTGAGGCGACAGCGCCACCATGCTGCCCAATCAGATAACAAAATAAGTTAATTTACATGCATCAGTCTTAAAGGTACAGTAACAAAACAGCCTGTCTGAGGTATAAACAAAGGAAAATCATGTAGAAGTGAATTATGATTGTTATTGGAACATAAATCCACACAAACGCAGGGAGAAAAATAAAATGCAAGTAAAATATACATTTAAATGTGCATTTTTTTCTATTCATCACTACTAATACAGCTATTTGTGCTGTTCAAGTACGACACTAAAGCTCATCCCTGAATGCAACTGGGGATGATGCAACCACACCATTGATGATGAGAGGGAGGTGCTGTGCTCATGAAAGGTCAGAGCAGATCTTGTTTGTTAAGCTCGCTCGAAGTGTGTTAGACAATTCCATTCATTTTTCGAAATTACTGCATAATCAAATGGTTATAACATCAACAAAGTCACTCAGACCGGTTTGACGTGAGCTGCTACCAGCTGTTCTTAACTAAACCGCAAGAGTGCGGTTTGTTGTTTAGCAGGTTAGTTGGGCTTCTTGTGATATGCGCGATGAGTCAATGGGTTGATTTTCTTGTCATTAAGAAAAATCAAAGGCATACTGAATACACATAATGATGAGGCGGGCTAGCCAGGTCAAAATTTGTTCTTGCACAGGTGCTTCTACGTCAAAATTCCGGCCCAGTTTGGAGCAAATGCAAACCTTTTGCTTGCACAGTAGAACCTTGGACTGTATTTATATCAGCACATCCAGTGCAGTTCACACCACTTCTTCTGACGCAAAGCAGAGCCCTGAACCACGAGCCCTTCACACACATCTGCCCCGAGAGAACAAGACACTAGAGAACAGAGTGGTGCTCTTTACGGTACATGAGGCCAACAGCCCACACAGACATGCTCTCTCATTCTCTCTATAAGGTTCTCTCACTGAGCTCTCTTCTCGCTTCTGTCTTTCCATCACATACACAACCCTTTGAATCTGGTATCACAGCATGAAGTGTACGATAAGCATCAACAAACGCCACGACTAGTAGGCAAAAAATCTAACTTGGACAGTTTTCCCTTTAACACAAATGAGACTGTGGCTATAAGCTTTTCTTAGGTCGCCATAGATCATCACATCCGTGATGTTATTGGCGATAACACACTCCTCGAGTGCTCTATTGCTTTTATACAACAGTTAAATAAATAAAGTGATAAATTAATAATCTGGGCCGTGAACGCAGCGTTTAATATGTTTTAATGTTCGCAGTTCCTTCACCAAATTATAGTTCCTTAACAAGCAGCTTGTTGCTACGTCAGAGTAACGAACTCCGCCCACTCGCTGCACAGTCTGCTGTAAGCCTCGCCTTTTGAAGCACAGACTGAGACATAAAACTGCCGCAATATCAAGTTTAGCTCAGTTTTGTCATTTTTTGCCAGATCAGTATTAATGTTGTTTTGTTCCAGCCAGTCTGTAAAGCATCTTACAGCCCATTTAGTTTGGCGAATGGTGTTGGGTTCATTTCTGGCTGATTCCAGGTTGTTTAGCTGTTCTTCTGTTTCAGCTGCCGACTGAAAAGCTGCTCAGTGGTGATGACAGTTTGGGAATTTAGTGTTGTCTCATCTTCAGAGTCTGACCAAATCGGCTGTCAGTCAAATGTGATCTTAAGTGTCCATTTTCTGTTTGTAAAGTAAAAACGTTCAAATGGCTTGAGCGTCTCCTACAGCTGTCAAAGTCGTTTGCTTAGCAACGGCGTCTCAGCGGAGTGATACAGTGTTTGTGAAAAACTGTGATGTTATGGTGAAATAACAGCACGGTTAGAACGCTTATCAACCAATCAGCTTGCATGGCTGGAACTAAATGTTCTATAAAACAAGGCCACACTGAAGCAGAAGCCAGTAGTAAATAAATTGTAAATTCATTTAAATTGCTAAGCTGAGGTCAAACCACTGAGGCAAGTTAATTACTTTTCATCAACTCAGCTCAGCTCTGTGCAAGAACTCATGAGGGTGGAATTAACAGGAAAGAGATGCTTTTCAGTAAATACGCGTGGGTGAGCTGAAAGCTTTGCACTTTTAAGCCTGCAGGTTTTCTCAGATCTTAGGCGTTTACCGACAACCATGAGTAATATCTTGAGCACTGTGGGGCTAATGGTTTCCTGCACCAAAGGACACAACAGCTCTACAAACAATATGATGCGAACACACAGCTATTTGTTTTCAGCACACAAAACTGAAACCCAGAAGGGAAATCAGCAGTGAAATCAGCAGATCATTCAGTGTGAATCAGGATCAGTAATAAACAGGAAGGCAAACCTCTGACTAACAACGATTCAAGTCAAATTACAGAGAAGAGAAATTAATCAATGCATCATAAAAGTCCTTTTTGATTATTTTGATAGGACTCAAAAGTAATTAAAAAATATACTGAACACACACAAGTAACTTCCCAAAGACGCTGAACGTTTTTCTCATGTGCATCTAAAATAGCTAAAGGAGATATTTCTGAAGATTAGATATAAGATAATCCACTTGCATAAAGAAGGGGAAGGTCAGATGAAAAGTGGAAAAAAAGCTGACAAAATGTTTAAAAGATACAGGGAAAATTAGATTCCTAGAAACACAAGACTTGGGGCTTTATTTATAAAATTTACTTGAATTTTATACTACAGCTGTCAAGAAGCCATTACTGATTAAAGGAAATAGACAAAAAAGAAAAAAAAAGTTCTAGAATAAAGAAACTGGACATCTTGGGCCATATTATCATTATTAAAACTTTCTATCTTAAGATCTGACAGGTCAAGATAAGATTTTTCACAAATTCGTATTACAGAAGCAAATCTGATCTTAATTTAAGAATCTTATCTTACAGCATCTTTTCTTAACTCAAGTTAGGAAATCTTAACCTATTGATTGAAGTCGACGATCAACTGTCACGTCTGTTACCTAGCAACCGACCACACGTGCACAGCTACAATGTAAACACGTAATCGTGTTAATTAGCCAGACAGCTAACGTTAGCTACCATTACTGATGTAAAAAAGGTCAAATAAAACTAAAGCGCGACAAACTGAAAGTTCAGAATATTGTGTCAGCGCCCCCTGCTGTTTATCAGTGTCGCTGCTCTTCAGTTTCAGTCTCCATTTCCCCAAACGCTTTAGCCGAGCACGCTAACGTTATTCCTCCTAATAAACAGACACACGTTCAGCTCTGTCTCCTCATTATTCGCCACCATCACTGTAATATTTTATCTGACGAGTTTTCCTCAACATTATCACATGAAGGTAATCAGAGGGACGGTGGAGATTGAATCTGCAGCATCTGAGTTCTTAAAAATGCTATTAAAAAAAAAAAACTCAAGTCAAAGCTCAGTTTTCAGTGTAGATAAATGTAGCGTCATTATGCTGGTTATAGTGAACTGTGCTGCCAATCACTGCATAAAACAATAGAAACAGACGATTAAACAGAAGTTAAGATGCTCTGGGGTTTATCTTAAAGTTAAGAAAATATTTAGGATATTTTGGCAACTTAGGATGTTTCTGTAAAACCATTTTCTTACCTGGAAATAAGCTAAGATTATAGACTTAAGGGCTGTTTCAGTTAAATCAGTATTAACTGAAGTTGCCATGACAACAAAACAGATAAAATAAGTTCTCAGAGTTTTCTGTAATATGGCCCCTGAAGTACAGACTAAGGTTTTATGGACTGATGAGTCTAAATCTGATATCTTCGGCAGTAACAGAAGGCAATTATGTATGCGACCAAAGCAATGAAAGACTCTGCAACCATCAGTCAAGCACGATGGAGGATCAGCGCTTTTGAGGACGAATAATAACACTCGCAATACCCTGACTGAAAAAAAAACATCTGATTGAAAAGATATTCATTCAACGAACACTGCTGAGAAGATCAAGACGTACTTTTCAAACAAAGAAGCTGCCGGTGTTCTCAGAACAACCGACTGACCACCCAAGACCCCAGACATCAACTCTGGGATTACTTGGATTATTTTTACACCCATTAGCAGTGACGCTCTGCAGATCAGCAATGGCTACTGAATATTATTGAAGTAAGGAAAGCTTCAAAGTGAGATAGAGGTAGGACTCACATCCTCATCCAGGTTGGTCTGTTCCAGGTCCACCACTTTAAACTGCACTCTCTTAAAGATCTCCTCCAGGGACTCACATGCTTTATAGTCCAACTTCTCGCCTAGAGAGGGAGAGAGGGAGAGAGAGCGAGAGAGCAAAGACACTCAGTCATGGGGATGGGAAGATTGTTAAGGTTTTCACTCAAACAGAGCAGGAGATCACCTGGTCGGCAGTTTGAAGACTTGAACCAACTGATTAAACAAGGGGAATCAGGTGTGATCCATCTTGTTTTGAGGGAAACCCTGCAGCCACACTGGCCCTTCGTGGACAAGATTAGATGCCGCTGATGTAGGCCCAATCCCATTTCTTATTTTTACCCCTACTCCTTGTTTGAGTTACAGGGTAGTGGTTGAAATCTTCCCCTATAAAACGGGACCCTTTCATTAACAGCTACTAGCGCTGCTCTGTAGGTGACCCGGCCCGTCTTCAGTGATAGCAGAGGAGGGTAAAGTTCAGCTCCTCACTGCTGGGCTTTAGTTACATTTAGGGCATCATATGCCTTCAAAGAGGGGGGCAATTATTTATTATCACCCACCCCTAATTCTTCAGAGATATGAAGCTGAAGTCAGATATTCACCAGATTCTTGTTCGAATTTTCCCGTTCCACCTTAAATGGTGCAGCAGTTACATTCTGGCGCTTCAGGCGTCAGAAATGCTGGACTATTCAAGGTGGAACGGGAAAGTTAGCTAGCTACTGAGACATCAGCATGCTATTAGATAAAACAGTGGTTACTGTAATTTTTTTAATGGAGAAAATTCTCACATTTGTGGGTTTCTTTGGTCTCTTGTTCATCCATCTTGCCGTTTTTTTCTTTTTTTTCTCATATCTCTCTGTTTGGAGTGTCTGAAAAACCTCTGTTTGGAGGGCCATGTAGCCCCAACACTTCGCCCCCTACCCCTCTATCACAAAAAAATTGGGATACCCTAAATCTAGACGTGAACGTGCACAACAGAGGGCTAAGGGTTAAGTGGTGGGGACGAGGGGTGAAATGGGATTGGGCCGTAAACACTGCTGCGTTCACTCCTCAGTCCATTCAATCCTTATATGGAAACTAAGCTTCAAAAATAGTCTGATTTTAATTAGTTGTTTCTGTGATGTCATGAAAACCAACACATTTGCTTATATCCACCTATTCAGATGACAGCGGTTTATCCCCAACCCTTCAGACTGAAGTTACACAGTCGAGTCACATAATTATGACCACCAGCTAATATCCAGAGTAACCGCCGTGTGCAGCACGGACAGCAGCTAGACGGGCTGGGAGTGACTCAATACAGTCCTGGTAGGTTGTCACAGGGATCTGGAGCCAGGCTGACTGCAGTGCATCCCACAGCTGCTGGAGGGGACGTAGGGGAGGACCCATAGAGCGAACACAACGATCGAGGTGGTCCCACAGATGCTCAATTGGGTTCAAGTCTGGGGAATTAGGGGGCCAGGGTAGTACTCAGAAGTCTTGGTCATGCTCTTCCAACCAATGTTGGACATTTCTAGCCATGTCACATGTCGCACTGTCTTGCTGGAAGATCCCATCGACCCCAGGGAAGACAATCAGCATGTATGGGTGTTTGTAATCTGCAGGGATGGATTCGTACCCAAATCGGTTGAGAGTGTCTTCCAGACGGATGAGTGGACGCAGAGAAAGCCATGAAAACAGTCCCCAGACCATAACACTGTCACCACCAGCTTGCGGACATGAGGTGGTCATAATAATGTGACTCGACTGTGTATAAGGAATGTTTCATAACGCTGTGGCTCATCACTACTAATACAGCTATTTGTGCCATTTAAGTACAAACACTAAAGCACAATGACAAAAATACACAAAGCTGTCAGGAGAGGAGAAATGATGGGATTATATGGGGTGGAGTGGTGTTACGGTACACAACACATAAGCCTATTATACTTAATAATAATGCAGGCTATACACAGAAACACAAGCCTCAGGGTGAAACAAATCAGGCTCAACCACTTAAAGTAACCACAGTGGCACCTTCAGCTTGTGTGTGTGTGTCGGTATAAAATGACACCTTACCTTTAAGATCCAAGCACTCATTTCGCTGAGTCAGCTCTGTCAAGTCCTGCAATAAATAAAAACAAATAACCAGTCACTCTGCTGCTCTACGGACAAAGTTACACACTATGCACTGATTCATGCGCACTCACATAACAGAATTACATTTATATTTTTTCTGGAGAGTGAAAATAGGTACATGAAAACTCTGCTAGTGACTGCTTGAAAACTCTGCTAGTGACTTCTGCTGCATTTTAGGGATGTAAATTACCGTTAACCAACCAGCACATAACCAAAAATATGAACAGTCAAAATATCAAACATAAAACTGACAAGTCAGGTTCAAGTATAGAGGCAACCCTCTTTGTCAGAAAAGAACACAAAGTGCTGAATCCACAGAGATAAAAAGATTATAAAAAGTCCAGAGAGCAGTCGTGTAATTTATTAAACAACAGATTAAGCACCGACGCATTTGCACACGGCCTTCCTTAGCATGCTAACAGCATTCAGGCCACCAACTCAAGTCAAGTAGACAGATAGGTAGATAGATAGATATGTAGATAGACAGACAGATAGATCACGACAGTTATAATAATAAGGGTGAAACAATATAAAGAGAAGAATATATACAAAAAAAACATCTACAGGCATTTATACAAATAGAAATGTACAAAAATCTGGAATAAGATCTACAACCTGAGATGAAAAAGGCAGTACAATAATGACTGTACAATGAGGCACAGCAACGGCATATAATGACAATACTGAATAAATATGTGCAGATATTGAAATAAAGTGTCCAGATGTGCAAGATGCGCGATAAGGTGTGCAGAAGTGCAATATGTACAGTAAGGTGTCCATATGTGCAGATGGATAAAAAAACCTAAGTCAAGTAAAGGAAAAGTTTATTTATATAGCGCTTTTTACAACAGGTGTTGTCACAAAGCAGCTTTACAGAAAAATCTGGGTCCGAGCCCCCATGAGCGGAACAAAGACTCAAAAGGGGAACGCATCCTCCTCTGGTCCACACCAGATAGCAAACAGCGTTAGAATAAAATATTAGAACGCAAAACAGGAAAAACAGGTGGAGCAATGATTAATTAGATAGTTTGAGTTATGCAGCAGCAGCAGCAGCAGCACTCACTTTTAGGGGAATTCCACCAGTTTTTCAAATTTGTTATATAATTCAAATATTAAGATGGAAACAAAGTCATTCAGAGTGGTTTAATGTGAAATGATCCATTCTAGAGAAACTTACCATAACAGAACTGTTCACAGTGGTGGTGATAGGAACCAGACAACCACCTCTAAAAGCTCCCTCACAGAAAGTTACTACATGAACTGGGTATGAATTCACTGCCTGATGTCTGAGACCCTGTTTTATGTCTGTTTTGACATAAGGTTTTGGCATAAAATTTCATTTTTAAATCATTTTGTCATTTTTATTTCAGATTTGCAACTATTTTACTTCACCGTTATATATATATAAACTCAGAAGACTCATGTACCACTGGTGGTTTGGATGGTAAATAAAATGACTATAGTGGTGTTGTAGACATTGTGACTCCTGGTTCCTATCAGCACCACTGTAAAGAAATCTAATTACTTAAGTTTCTCTAGAACGGAGCATTTCACAACAAACCGCTATGAATGCCTTACATCTCAACCGCTGAATTATGCAGAGACTCTGACAAACAGTGTAATTCAGCTTTAATAGTGCTACCAGTTCCACAATCCCCCCCACTTATGAAGTCACTGAGGCGAGCCACAAGTACCACAGACCCATCATCCACCATCTCCAATATAAATCAAAGCAAAGAGACAAAATAATTAAATGAAAAAACATTAAACCAAAAAAAATATATTTTTACTCAAAACTAAAAATAACGTAATAATGTATGAAAATGAAAAAAATGAAAAAGAAGAAACAAAAAGGGGTGTTTGAAGTTTTGTTCCAACAAAGACAATAGATGCACACGTTGGGCGCGTGTGTAATTGAGAGTGTCTACATGCTTCAACATGCACGACGTGCGAACGCGAAAACGTCTGCTGGACAGCATGCCGAGGCTTTTGAGTGTGTGTTTGTGTATATATGTGTGAATGTGTGTGTTCAGGTGGCAGAACTCAGAGCTCAATCAGGCACCGACACGCCTCGACACACAAGGGAGAGTGAAGGCAGGCGGGCAAGTCTTCCCGCTAACCCCAGAGTGGCTATTACAGCTGCACAATATATCAGATGATAATTATTTTCACAGCCTGCTCGTCTTAAAAAGCTCTAATTACACTGCAGTACATCCAACGCGCCACGTCAACCAACCCCACTGATAACTGCACCCCTCAGCAACCCAAAGATTACGGAAACTTATGGTGAGCATGTGCATCATTTAGATTTTGCTAAGAAACATCGAGAGAGCATTTCCACGAATCACAAGTATTCAAGCGCTTTTTATTTCTGTAGCTTCTGGCTTCAACAATGTTTTATTCATACTATGTTTTATTCATATATTGCTTGCTTAGGCAGAACGTTTTGAATACTTGCTAATGTTCTTCAAAGTATCTAAGCAGAAAGAAACAAATGGAATATTTTAGGTGGAACATACAGCCAGAAATCTTCCAAGTTGGCTTATGGATGAAACTGAATTGGCCAGTGACAGTAACAGATTGCGAGAACAGGCAGAGTGCGTTTGGAGTAAATGTCTCAGTCACCAGATTTCAGAAAAAAACTTACCCACTGACTATCTCAGATCTGCTTAGTACCTTAAAAAAATAGCGTTACTGTGGCAAACAGACAGCACGCAAAATTTTAAGCTTGGATCTCAATCAGATTCTGACACACAGAGGCTTTAAAAAGTGCGTATGAGCTTAATTTTGCCTTTTTTGTTTTATGTTCCCTCTTGTCCACTTCCTATCACTTGTGAGGGTTCACCTACCACAACCTCAATTCTTTATAAATGTCTTAATTCATTTCTACATAACTATTTTCAAACAGAAGCTCTGTACTATGCTTCATTCAAAAAGCAGTCCCAGCTGAAACTCCTTATAACTTTAGCAGGAATGGGTGGGGCTAAACTGCTGAAGCCAGAATGGGCGGATATTCATAAATGATTAAGTTTTTCATGACAACACAAAAACAATAAATTCAAAAGGAGCTATTTTTATAGCTTACTTTACATATGTGGACAGTATGGACCGGTGAGTGACTGATTTGCTTTGATCAGGTGAAAACATGCTTCCATATTACATTACTCTCTTTAATTAAATTCCATTTTGTAAAATATGGGCCCTTTAAAATAAACACTATAGAGATGGGGTCGTTAATTAAAATTCAATAAAGTCCAGTTAGAGGAAATATCCTCAAGTAAAGGTCCAGAACATCATAGTGTCTAACTTGCATCATGATTCAGTGCCATGTACTCTTTACTGAAGTAGCCTAGTAGGTATATCAACATCTTATGTAGTCAACAGCTGAATGTCAAATCAAATAAAGTACAGTTCAGTCATATTTCAACAATATTTATCACCACTTTTCTCTTTTTAGAGCGCGACATGTAAAATAATCTGGCTCACTTTCTACTTCGACTGCTGTTTCTTGCCTCGTCCCTCCCCTGTGTGTGCATCACTCACTCCAGTCTCAGTGCTCATCGTAATGCACAGATCTGATTGGCTGAGTAGCGTCACGTGTGATATTTACAACGCACGCGATTGGTCTGTGAGTCTCCCGGGCGGCTAAAACGGTACCGTAAACACTAGAAAAGTTACGATTAAAATAGGACCATCCAGTTGAAATTACATAATTCTCCCTAGTTTATCAGTTACAGGTCCAGGTCCGCATAGGACAGCGTCTGGGTCCGGGCTCGGACTGTGGTCCGCCTATTAGTGACCTCTGCTATAGAGGTCAAACTATGGTAGGTCAAACATTGAAACTACTGATGCTAGATGCTTGAAATGAGCAAGGATTATTCTGTGGTTTACGGTGTGTTTAAGTACCAAAACTGAAGACAGAGATGCATGTATGCTATTTTACAGTGGTCAGTTGTTAGGCCTTCAGGATTTCAGATGGACTTCTAGACGACCAGAGTTCCACACAAGAGTTCTACTGTCTGCCAACAGGGGGCACACTGTACAAGCCCTCCTTGCCAAAGCCAATACTCATCAGTGTGTGCTAAGGTCGCATGACCCGCGGCATTCAGAGCCTCTGTCCGACATTCAGCACTGACCTGCAAACAGCGTCTGGCCATGGCTTTCAATTTTACTGAACTCTATACCACAGCCATGGCTGATCTGAGGTCAGCTATGCAATTAGCCTTCAGAGAACAATGCCAGGGTCACACAATTTATCAGTCTTGAAGAAGTCAGAAGCATAAAACTACACAGCTGGAACAGAAGTAGGAGCTTTCGCTCAACTATTCAAATGATATACAGCTGAAAACAATATATAAACACATAATACCTTTACTAGGACTGTAGTTGTGGCACATGACTACTGCAAAGTGTGGGTGGGAGTTGGCACACATGCAGAAATATTTCTTTACTATTTCAGTTTTTGGCTGAATTAGTTAAATTCTGTATAGCTCAACGTGTGTGACCAAGTTTCTGCGATGCTTGTGTTTTTACACCTGTATAGCTGGGAGTGATAAGTATTTTGTATACCTGAGTAACAGGCATATTTTGTACATGCTTCTAGTGAGTAGCCTGCAGCAAACGACAATGCCAGGTGACTACTTCTGCTCTAAAATCTGCTTAGCTGTGTTCTTATTAACAACTTTCAGTCATTTCAGTTATTTATTTATTTTTTTACTGTGAGCCACTTTGAGGTAAGCTGAAGTTCCATTCAATTAGATTCCATTCACATGAAGTATAGGGGGATCCATGCGGTAAAGCTAGCGTTACAGCGCGCAGCAGAGAGAAATAACACAACAAACACAAAACCTCTCTCTCTCTGTGAAGCAGAGTACTGGTGTTTGAGCCCACACACTTCTTAAACGTCAACCCCTGTTTAATGGTCAACCAATGAATCAATCAATTCATTCACTCATCCATTTATCTTCTAAGCTGCTTATCCTCCTG